GGGGGCAGGAGAAAAAGGGGAGCTGGCGCGGCTCTCGGGGCTGCCGGTCCGTGGCCTCCCCGCGCGTTTGCTGGAAGAACCCGAGGCGCCCTCGAGGACTGCTGGGCCCGAGGCCAAGTCGCGGGGGCGGCCTCGGCTGCGCTCGGAGCAGCAGCGCTGCGCTCGCCTCCAGGGAAATGTCCCTTCTCCGACCCCGCCGCCCCCACGCTCGCCCCTCCTCTCCGGTCGTTCTCACCCCTTTCTCTCCCCGGTCACAGGACGCAGAGGCCTGGGGAGGCCTCCACCGACCACCCAAGGCCGCGCAGTCTCGGCGCCCCACACCCCGGGTCACACCCGGAAGGTCCAGGGCCCCCGCGTCCGGCCACGCCATCCGCCCGGCGGCCCAGGAGACCCGGCAGCTGGGGTCAGCCCGGCCTCGCCCTGCGCTCCCGCCCGCCCTTTCCACGCTCGCTCCCGGCGGGGGCGGAGGCCTGGGTCACCTCCTGCAGACTCCGCGCGTTGGGTGGCCGCTGAACGTCGCGCCTGGTGGCGGACGCAACTCGCTTCGGCCATGTGCGGCCGGCCATTCCTGGGTCGGAGGCTGGCAGGGCTGTCCCTGAAGCCTCCAGCTGAGGGCCAGACGTTGGGGATCGGGACGAACGAGGGGTCAAAGGTCCCTGTGGTCCTACTGCCCCGCGGGACCCCGAGTTGGGAGCACGGGAGTCGAGACCGTCCGCGGGGAGCCTCGGAGGACTCGGGACACCGAGGCGCCTGCCCTTGGGTCCTCTCTTCCCAGCTCTCCTAGGGGGATCCCCGGACCCCAGCTTGTCCCCACAGCGGGGCGCGCAGGGCGAGTGGCAGGGCCACGTGGGGCGCGCCGGGCGGGCCAGGGACCGCGGCGCCTTCTTGAAGGGTAGCGGGGCGCGGGGCCAGGCTCCGCCCCAGAGGGCGGGGCGCTCGAGGGCCAATGGGGACCCGGGTGGGGGGCGGGGCCCAGTGGCCGCTGCTTAAAGAAACTTGTTGAGCTTTCTGAGCCCCGGCGGCTGCAGCTGAGCAGCGGCGCAGCGGGCACGGTGGTTGGCTCGCAGATCGGCCCCCGCGGAGACCTCGGGACGAGGAGCGGCAGCCCCAATGCTGGACATGACCGAGGCACGCGCGCAGCCGCCCTGCAGTCCATCGGGCACCGCCAGCTCCACG